GTAATTAAAGGCTGCATCTTGCAGATTCATACTAAGAAATTACAGTAAAGTCTCAATTGAGTCGAAAATCCTAGAGACTTCATTAAAAAATCTGTGCTAGTTTCTTAGCAACAATATTATTTCCTTCTTCAAAGATAGAATTGGCTTCCTTCCTTCCTTCCTTCCTCCCTCCCTTCTTCCTTTTTTTCTCTGTCTGTCTCTCTAGCTGTCTCTCCTTCCTTCCTTCCTTCCTTCCTTCCTTCCTTCCTTCCTTCCTTTCTTTCCTTACCTTTCCCTTTCTTTCTTTCTTTCTTTCTTTCTTTCTTTCTTTCTTTCTTTCTTTCTTTCTTTCTTTCTTTCTTTCTTTCTTGTTCTTTCTTTCTTTCTTATCTAGCCTGCACAAATGCTACCACAGTTTGACTCTGATTAGCTTTTCAATCAAGGTTGGCTACCTGAGTGAAAACCAATATATGGACTTACAGAATTCCCTTTACAGCATGTCTATACCTGAGAATTCTGAGAATTAAAGTCAACACATCTTGAGGTCACCCAGGTTCTGGTTTGTATCAACCTGAGTTTTAATATAATACAGCACTTAGAAAAAGTCCCGTGAATTCTTTGAGAAATTGCTAGTATATTACTCGCTAAAACAACCCTTTCTTTTGTTCTTGAATTTTTTTTATTGAATTAATTTTTTTAAAATACAGTACTATATCAGATTTTCTTCAGCACAGCAGTACAATTAGCCAAAAAGATATCTAACCTCAAAATGAGAGAACTGATCTCTGAGTAAGAAGACATGCAAGATCTGTGTTCCTTTTGAAATTAATAACAGAATAACTGTTGGAAGAGACACTGTGGGTCATGTAGTCCCACCCCCTGCCCAAGCAAGAGATCCTACACCATTTCTGACAGATGGCAGTCCAGTCTCTTCTCGAAAGCCTCCAGGGATGAAGCTCCCACAACTTTTTAAGGCCAGTTGTTCTCACTGTCAGAAAATTTCTCCTTCTTTTCAGAGGTGGTGTTCACCCGGATTGGACCGGTTCTAGCAAACTGGTAGTGGAAATTTTGAGTAGTTTGGAGAACCAGCAATACCACCTCATATTGGCATCGCCCTCCCACCCTGCTGTTTCTTGTCCTATATTCCCTTGTTTTTTAGCTCAGCTGATTCACATGGCAGAGCAGATTGCCGCCCCTCAGATTAGCTAAAAAACAGCTCAGCTCAGCAGCGCTGACACCGAGGACAGTCTTTGAGTACTGCGCTCACGCACGAAGCACGCTCTCATAGAACCGGTAGGAAAAGATTTGGAATCCCACCGCTGCTTCTTTCTAGGTTAAATCTCTCCTTGATCAGTTTCCATGATTTTGGTGGTTTTTTAAAATCTTTATTAGCCATTATACTAACAGGTGACTATACTGTAATTCTATGCTCTCATTTGAATTATTGTACTGATCAGATGTCTTTCAATTTTGTAATAGTGAGAACATTTATTACGATTTAACAGAATAGATACATGAAAGAAAATACTGAACCAGCTTACCCATATTTAGGATGAACAACAATTGCTCTAGGATACTGAAAACAGAAGGTATTGTTAGGATCCAGGCACCGATCAATTAGTTTTTTCCGGAATCGGCCATCCAGCTCAGCTACATAGAGGCAATCTTTATAGGCATCTACCCAGTAGAGTTTTCTGAAATATTTGACAAAAGGCATATTACACCAACAGCTTGTTCACAGACATGTTTCCCCCCCCCCATCTTAATTATCAATTTAGGTCTGAAAGGCAGAAAATTAAAGCAAGAAAAAGCTAGCGCAGCACTAGAGCATTGCACCTTGGGGTGTAGTTATCTGAAAGGAAGGTAGACCAGAAAGGAAACATGACAAGATAAAACTAATTCTACTCTACTGCAAAGTTATATTAATTGAATCTTGCCAAGTCATAAAGTACAATTCTCCCACAGTCACTTGTTCAGCCCAAGAATGTAGGGAAGGTCTCTTTTGAGTCTCTTGTTCTGCCAACGATGTAGCTGTGAGCTGTGCTGTCTCTCGGCTGAACGGTCCCATCTCTTCATCCCATCTCCCAAAATCTTTCCCACATACCATTACATTATTCCACTATTCCCCACATTTCCCTCTGCAACGCAGCATTTGTCACTATGTAGAATTACAGTAAGGATTATGTTCGCTGGCTTGGTTTACCCACTGTTGATGGAGTAAAGTCGCCAGGGCCTCCAAAAATTGTAACCAATATTACAATTTAGGGAAATCATGTGACCTTGCAGCTTCAGATTGCCACCTCTGTTACAATATAATTACTGGAAAATATATTAATATTCATTGAATTACATTGATTCATGAAGCTATCGTTTTAAGGCTCAAAAATGATTCTGAAGAATTGCTTTAGATTTCACTCAAGCACAAACATGGCACCTTCTTGATGTTTCTTAAAATATTTAGGGTTCTGCAGCAGGCTGAAAAAAAGATGCTGCTGCTTTAAGTCCATTCCTTAAAGTTAATGAGACTCTTAAAGCAGTGGCATCTTTGCAGCAGAGCCCTGAAAATATCAGATTGTTTAAATGAGAAGCTTGTGGCCTTTTAATAGCTGAAATATTTCCTTCCTCCAAATCAGTTTTGAAGTGTGGGAAGCTATTACCACTACAGTGTTATGATCTGTAGTTCTTAGTATATCAATACAAAATAAGATAACATAGATGGCATCCATATTCACTAATTAGAGTGTTTGTTGGCAATGTTGGAAGCCTTAACACTGCTAGCACCTTAGCACTGGAATAATTTTCTATCCATTTTCTATCTCCTAAAAGATATATTAAGATGATAATTATAGTCCATGTTCTCCAGTGCTGAAGTATGATAACAATATATAAGGATAATCAAGAACATAAAGCAATACACAAAAATATATGATTTCTACTATTATTTGTGATAACTGCTTTTAAAAAGATAATTGCTTTTTGAGCTGTGATGGTGCACTGGTTAGAATGCAATATTGGAGGATAATTCTGCTGACTGCCAGCAGTTCGATTCCCACTGGTTCAAGATTGACTCAGCCTTACATCTTTCCGAGGTCAGTAAATTGAGGACTCAGATTGTTGGAAGGAATATGCTGAGTCTGTAAACCTCTTAGAGAGGGCTGTAAAGCACTGTGAAGTGGTATGTAAGTCTAAGTGCTATTGCTATTGCTAAAGGAAATAGCTAGGGGATTTGCTATAAATCCAGCTTTCCCAATCTATGCCACCCAGAAGGGGGGGCAGCAGCTCTCCATATTCCCAGCCAATCAATGTGGCCAAGGACTGGAAATTGCAGTGTCATCATATCTGAAAGTTGCCAGGCAGAAGGCAGAAGAACACTTCATTAATTATTAATTATTAACACTATTAATCTGAGGAGGGCACCAACTGAGCAGTACAACTTTTTGAAAAACAACAAGAGGCGTACCTTCCAACCCAGTCAACAGCAATGCCTTCACCATTGGGCACACCATCACCAATTATTGTTTCTTTGTTTGTTCCATTGAAAAACATTCTTTCTATGACCTTTCTGCCTACGTCAATCCAGTAGAGCCTTTTTTCCACCCGGTCGAAATCCAGAGCCACAACATTACTGAGTCCTTGCAAAATGAGAGAGTAAAGCCGGCCATCTGTGGTGAGATTTCTCAGATAGTAGCGATTGCTAAAGATAAGGTAAGGTGAGATGTTACTGTTCTGTCGGCAACTTCTCCCATCAGGTTCACGAATGTAGCCTGGGGCGCACTTGCAGATGTAGCTGCCGACGGTGTTCTCACACATCTGGCTACATATTGACGGTGTTTCACTACATTCATCTATGTCATCACAAGACCTTTTGTTGGACATGAGTCTGTACCCAGGACGACACGAACAATAGAAACTAGTCTGGATATCTGTGCAGATGTGGTCACAGTTGCTAATTGAAGGATCATTGCATTCATTAATGCCTAGAAGATGACAAATACAACAAATATGTTACTCCGCTTTTATGAGGCAGTTTTGGTTCATTTACTGTTACTTACATAAACCCCAATTACCTAGTTTCCCCCAAAATAGTACCTTTCATGTGTTGGACTACAACTCCCAGCCTACCTTCCCCAACCAGCATGCTAGCTTGAGAAATTGGAAGTGTTATTAAACATATTTGAAGTGCACCAGATAGGAAAAAATGAGATAATTCACTGAACTTGTTACATTAAAATTACAAAATAAAATTATACATTTTGTATAATTACAAAAGGCAATTGGTGATAGCTAGGTAATAATAAATCAGCCTTTGTTCAATTAATGACGATCTATAACTCCCTCAATATCTGACTATTTGCCATGCTGTCAGAGGACAATTTGAGTGGTAATCCATCCGGGGACCCAAGAACACAATATGTCATCGTGCGAGATTGCCTTTGTGCTGATTTATCTAAGTTCCATACATACCGCATCCCTTCTCATCACTATTATCACGGCAGTCATCTATCCGGTTACAGACTTTGACCATTTCAATGCAGTTTCCATTGTCACATGCAAAATAGTGGGGAGCACAAGTTGCTTCTGGAGTAACGCAAAGATGCTCTAGCTCATCGGACTCATCCCCACAGTCGTTGTCCCCATCACAGAGGTAGGCTTTGCTGATGCAGCGGCCATTTTGGCAGGTAAACTGGTGCTGTTGGCATGGCTGATAGGTGCAAGCTGTCTCATCACTGCCATCCCCACAATCATTTCGGCGGTCACACCTGGAAAGAGCCCGTTAACAAAAGCTGCTCACTCGATTGTAAGATGAGCTGCACATAAATCAAATACGTACATACATAAAATAGCAACTCTTCTGCTATTTGTATGTGTGTGTTCTCCACCAAAGTTACTGCATGCAAAGCATAAGGTTTGGGAGAACAGAGGCATGATCTGCAGATCATGGACAAACTAGCTGTGACATTACAAACATGTCAAACATGGAGAATTTCAGGCCACAGAAATCCTGGAGAGAGAGAGATATTGATTGATTGAACTGGAGAGAAATCTCATGACAAAAAGTGTGTCCTTAGTCCCCTGAGACTCTTGTCTCCTTCTAGTCCTCAGAAATCCTCCATATATTTCTCTAACCACCACCTCCCAATCCAAACCACATTAAAGTCTTTGCTGGGTACATTATATTTGCTCAGATTTGTATTTGGCACCTCTATCCTGCTTTTCTTTGTGACAATATGAATACTATTCCTCCTGGTCAGTGGTGGGATTCAAAAAAAATTTCTATTGGTTCTGTGGGCATGGCTGGGTGAGCGTGGCATGGTATGGGGTGGCGGGCATGGCATGGTGGGCGTGGCAGGGGAAGGATACTGCAAAATCCTCATTCCCACCACACTGCACTAACCTGCTTTCTGTTCTCCAGTGCAGGGCAACAAAAGAAGACCTAGCAGATCAGCTGGGACTCAGGAGGCAGTGAATAGATGGGGTGGGGCCAGTCAGAGGCGGTATTTGCCGGTTCTGTGAACTACTCAAAATTACTGCAACCAGTTCGCCAGAACCGGTCAGAACTGGCTGAATACCACCTCTGCTCCTGGTCTTAGATTCAACTTTTTACCATTATAAGCAATATGACATCATAAACCTCTGTCCTGGCCCAGCCAGCATGTTCAGTAGAAAAAAGAAGGGGGGAAATTAATTAAGATAAAGCTGAGTTCATTTTTAACCAGGCACAATCTTAGTAACAAGGAATTTAATCCTTGTTATAACCCTCTCTTAGTCCACCTACTGCATTTATGCAGAGCTTTGCTACATCACTGCTACATATTCTATTAGAATAAACAAAATATGGTCTTCCAGACATAGCTGAGTCTCAAATTTTCACTGCTCTTACTCAACATGGCCAATGGTGAAGAATGATAAGTGCTGCATTTCAGTGTTTGTAAAGAATTGTAAGTTATCCACTCTTAAGATATTAGCTGTAGTCTGTGCCTGGGATTCTTGAAAGAGTTTGCAGAGGACATACAAACCTGTAAGTGTTACGGATGCACAGTCCATTACCACATGTGAATTCACTGCCCGAGCATGGCCTCCTAGTGCAGTTCTGATGCTCATCATAAGCATCACTGCAGTCAGCATCCCCATCACAGACCCAAGCCCTCGGAATACATCTTCTTAAGGGGGGCACATTGTTCACACATGTGAATTCAGTGGCTGAGCAGCTGCGATTTGCTAGAACAAAGTGTGAAATTTCAGCAATTTATCCAAATTACATTATTCATGCCATTTAAATCAGCCTACCATCTGTTCAACCAATGTCTCCTTAACCACTTGCAGTCTTTCAAATAAAAGGAGAATTACCAGAAAGCAATCTAGGTCTTAAGGATTGTTTTATTTACAACTCTGCAATCCCTTGCTTTGGGGGAGAGTTGGGGGCGACTGATTGGAGCTGTGCATTTACCAGCCAGCTGCCCTTCCTGACGCTCATACAGGGTTTGCAGCAGACAATTACTCATTGCCCCCAAAGAGAGAAATATCTCCCACTACCTAGGATCAAACTCCAGCCTCTTGATTGTGAGATGAGGGCCCCATTTCTAGGCCACCATGCCTTTCATCTAGGCCTTGAGTGACTAAATAAAATAACAGCTTAGCCTTGAAGCTTTATGTTGCATGGAACTTACCACAACTGTGTCTTTGGTCCTCATCACTCATGTCACCACAATCATCATCACCATCACAGATCCACGTAGCTGGTATGCATCTGCCGCCATCACATCTAAACTGCCTACTTGAACAGCTCCGTTCCGAAGAAACTTAAAAAGAAATATAAGATTTCATAGACTACGCATTTTTCACGTCCTGGGAGTGCTGCCTAAACTTTGTTTCCTGCATTTCCACAGACATATGCCAATTTGTGTTTTAATTCTCAGTCTGTCTATAGGCAAGGGACTGTGAAAGTCAGTGGACAATCCAGGGGATATGGAATATGTTTACCTCTGGTTGGTAAAAGTTTTATAATACAGAGGTTAAAAGTATCTCATTGGCTTCCAGGAGTGCATGTTGTGGTTTTTTTTACTGAGGTTTTAATGGATACAGTATGCCTTTCTCATACAAAGCATGCACTGTGCCATTCAGATGAAGTAGCATCATGCAGAATAACTGAAGTGTTGTTAAAAACAGAAGAGTGAGACATCCAGAAAAGTTCTTTAGAATGCCTTCCCCTCAGTATTTTTTTTTACAACAATGCCATTACTAGCAGTGCAATTTTACTATAATTTCATGGGACATACTATATCTTCATGGGTGTATCTAAGTCTGTTGAGGAAACTTCATTCTTGGGACTCTGACAGAAATACACCATTCTTTAACTTATGAGATAGCTGATGGCACATTTGCCCATAAGGTTGATCACTACGAGGTTGTAAGTCTTAATTTCCCTCAATAAAGTCTGGGAGTCGGACGAAACCATTCCAGGTCCTTTCCAAGTGTGCCTAACCTCACACTTACCACAAGAGGAAGGCTCGTCCGAGCCGTCAGCACAATCTGCTGCTCGATCACAGTACCAATGAGCAGGAATGCAACGTCCAGATGTGCAGCGAAACTCACTATTGGTACAAGTCAGTGTGGCTAAAAAGGCAGAGAAAATTCTTGTTAGATCCGTGTGTTTTCCTTTGCAAATGCATTGGACTCAGGGGTGAAATGCTACTAGTTCGGCCGGTTCGCCTGAACCAGTAGTAAAAAATGCTACTGGTTCACAAAACCGGTAACAAAAAATACAAAAAAAGGTTTTTTTAAAAAAGTTTCGACAATAGCAGGTCGCACAGCCAAAAACAGGATGGGATCCATTTTTGCTCCCAGAAGGCTTCCCTGAGGGCTGCTAGGCCAAAAACGGGGGGGGGGGGTGTTGCTGAGAAAGAAAGGAGGAAAGAAAGAGACACAGAGACAGAGATAGAGAAAGAGAAAGAAAGGAGGGTGAAAGAAAGAGAAAGAAAGAAAGAAAGAAAAAGAAAGGGAGGGAGGGAGGGAAAAAGGAGAGGAAGGAAGGACTGCAAACCTGGCACCAGACGCAGCTTCAGAGGATAATCCAGGGCTGGAAGGGACCTGGAGGTCATCTAGCCCAACCCTGCTCCAGCAGGACATTGTTAAAGTGAGTTTCTGTCTTTTAATCCCCCAGTTACATGACTACATAGTCACATGACCCCCACCAAGCCACGCCCACAGAACCAGTAGTAAAAATGTTTAGATTTCACCACTGATTGGACTCTGTAATGATTATGCTCAATCCTCAGCCTGGGTATTGTGCTCTTGGGTAGTTGAACTACTTCAACTAGGTTAGCCTAGTAAGCCTTGCTACAATTTTCATAAGTGCCTCAGGATAATAAGACATATAAAATGAAACTAATGAAAGGTATCAACAGCTGGTCTAAAACTTCTCCATGAAAGACCCTTTCAAAAAGATACCCACGGGCCCAAGAGGTTCCATTTCCACTTTGCCAGATGTGGGAAGCCTCAACCCAAATATGCAACCCATTGGCATCCTCATCAACCATTCATTAGCATTTTAAGACAGTATAGCTGAAAATTGGCGAGAAAATAAAAAAGACTGTAGAAGAACAGACTGCATAAAGAGATTCTAAGCTTCTGTCCTCCTTCCCTCCTCTCCCTTGTCTTCTCAGTCCTCCACCAGCATTGGGATGACCCTGCTGCCAATCAAATAGCTGTTGTCAATCAAACAGCAACATTGGGCAGGAAGGAATGAGGAAAGGTCTGCTACCTGGGAGTTCTGCAACCACAAGCCTCATGAAGAGTAAGCTCAACAAACACAGCCAAAGCACAAGAGTAAAAATAAAGATAAACAATCTTGCTGAGAAAGATGTTTCCCCCGCTCCCTCAAACCTGACATAAAGAAAAAGTCCTACTAGTCATTTCCCTCAGATGGAGCCAAGTTTTGGAAGAAGAATCAGGAAACCCAGCCAAGAACACACAGGAAGAAAAAGCAAAGAAAATGTCAAAGTTTTGGCAGAACAAGAGTAGAAAACAAACTAAACAAGATTGAAAGGTAGATTGATCTTAGATGAAAAGGAGGAATTCTATATTACAATAGAGATATAGGAGGCTATATATATAATACAAAATACATGTAAGATAATAATATAGTATTATATAATACAATATAATATGATACAATGCAATACAAGACAGTACCATATACTGTGTTTTCCCGAAAATAAGACAGGGTCTTATTTTCTTTTGAAATAAGCACTTGGCATTTTCAGGAAGCTCTTATTATTTTTGAGGTGCAGGAGGCAGCGAGCGTGGTCACCTCCTGGCTACTGCTGTGTGGCAATATTTTGGGGGAGGGCTTATTTTGGGGGGAGGGCTTATTTTAGCACATGCATTCAAAAGCCCCATTGGGCTTATTATCTGGGGAGGTCTTATTTTTTGGGAAACAGGGTAATATAGTACAATATAATGTAATGTAATGAGCATAATGACTAATGACTAGACTAGAATAGACTAGACTAGAATATAGAATATACAAATATATGAGAAAAGTAATTTGTCAGCAATAAACAAATTATATTAGAGATGTAGAATAGAAAAATATGAAGATGCACTGAAATTGCACATTATAGTGTAGATAAAGCAAATAGAATATAGTTTTAGTAGTAAGAGCTTAATTTGTGAAGAGTTGAAGGCATTTATAATGTACAATTCCTTCTATTGTAAGCTTGCATTGCTTTGTAAAATGAAATTCTCCCCCAGTTGTTGACGGGACAGACAAAACAACAAAACCAAACTAACTGTTCAGGTATCCAGTGTCATCTTTGAATCAAGCTAATTATTTGTGATTCCAAAAGAATATGTGATAATGTGTAATAAGGATTCAGTGACACATTATAATAGTAATATGATAGTATTAGATGGGAATGGAAGCAGAATGCTCTTCATCCCAGCCCCAACCCTGATTCCAAAATCAATAACCCCAAAGACAGCCCTGCCTTTAGAGTAGTGTTACTACAACCCTAGATGACAATGTACAGAGATCTAACATAAGTTGGAAAGTTGACTCAGAAACACTCTGCACCTACCATATTTTTCGGAGTATAAGACATACCTCTCCCCCTACCCACTAAAAGTGGGTGAAAATTTAGGTGCGTCTTATATAGACTGAATACAGGCATTTTTGGCCTCCCAAACTGTACGTATGTCGCGTTTTCACCCTCCCAGCCCCCCAAAAGCACTCTGCAGGCCAAACATGGGCCCGTTTTTGGCAAAAACGGGCCGTGCAGAGCACTGCAGAGTGCTTAGAAGGATTTAAAAGTCCTTTTAAGAAGTGCATTTAGCACTGTCATTTAATCCTCAATGACCTGAGCTTCTGAAGGACAAATCTAAGATTTAGAGCTTTGAAAAATGTAAACATGCCAGGAATCCACCTAAGAGGTAATCCTTTGTTTATTTTTTTTACTTGAAGTTTGATAACCTCCTTGTCTCGTTTTGAGAATGTGTCTTTTAACTTAAATTCCAGATTATCAGCAATTTGATTGTCTTGCTCCCATACGCATATGCCCCCCCCACACACACACCCATATATTTCAGTTGTGTCTTTTCAACGGCATTCCTAAAAGAACAGAACGTACAAGAATGCTTGTCCCTTTACCCAAACCAAGACAGGAAAGCTGAAGTGAAGGAGTATAATTGTTGAGAGTCATTTAGCTTACCGCAGTGAGTGGGGCTCTCATCACTCATGTCGCCACAGTCATTATCCCCGTCACAAAGATAAGTTCGAGGAATGCATATGTTGGTACTCTGACATTTTGTATAACCAGAGGGACAAGTACGTTCAGCTTTAAGACAAAAAGAGAGGATATTCCTTTTCTTCCCCATAGAGCATAAGGCAGAGTGTTTTTAAGCAATTACAAACAGCAGTATACAGTTTCTAGTAGTTCATTTAGTGACTGTTCAAAATTACAACAGCACTGAAAAAAATGACTTAGGACCATTTTTCACAGTTATGACCTTTCAAGCGTTTCCCTGGGATCATGTGATCAAAATTCAGACACTTGGCAACGGACTCATATTTATGACGGTTGCATTGTCCCGGGGGTCATGAGATCAAACTTTTGTGACCTCCTGGCAAGCCAAGTCAATGGGAGAGCCAGATTCACTTAATAACCAGGTGACTAACTTATCAACTGCAGTGATTCCCTTAACAACAGTGGCAGGAAAGGTCATAAAATGGGGAAAAACTTGCTTAACAGATGTCTCACTTAACAACAGGAATGTTGAGCTCAATTGTGGTCATAAATTGAAATCAGCCTGTTTAATCCAATTTAGCTTAACATAATACTGCCTTTTTTTATCGACGGGTTGCGATACCAATTCTAAGAACGACAATGAATTCGAATGGTAACTCAAATGCCTCTTCAGAGTCATTGGAGCCCATGACGCCCTTCCATTAGTGTAACAGAGTATTGTGGTCCATCAGATTCTCCCATCTCTCTCTAAATATCCAATATCAAAAGGTTGGAGGATCCTCTGGGACTGATCCGAGAAACAGCGGAGGATGGTTGGTTGCAAAGTGGAGGAGAACAGAAACTCTGAGAGCATGAGTGGAGCCACTGGGATCGTATCTATGCATGAATACAAAAGCTAATCTACGTTCCCTGCATTACTCAGATATAATGATCATTTAGCTATCAGTTTCAATGATTTCTTTCTGACCTCATTTAACACTTCAACAGATTTGCTTAATGCTAGTGGGAGGTGGAAAAGCTTCACTCCCTCTGTTCCTTGACAGTGCCACATCCATCCAGTAGATTTGGAATTGGAAAGTATTACCGTATTTTTCAGACTATAAGATGCACCGGTGTATAAGACGCACAAAGATTTCGAAGAGGTAAGTAAGAAAAAAAGTTTTTGTCCTCCCGGCCCCCAGGAGCACTCTGCAGGCTTCAGAAGGGCTGGGGGGAAGCAAAAACACCCTCGTTTTTGTGAAAAACGGCCAGAGAAACAGCTCATTTTTCACAAAAATGGGATGCAGGGCAGGGCTTCGGGGGGGGGGAGCAAAAATCGCTATATTCAGTGTATAAGACGCATCAATATTTCCACGCTCTTATAGGGGGGGAGGTGCGTCTTATACTCTGAAAAATACAGTAAATGGGATGGCACTTATGAAAGTCTTTCTTCCAGAATCCAACAAAGACACTGATAATGGTGGCCCTCTTGTTTGTAAGCAGTCTGATGAATAGTGATGCAATTCATTATTGTCTCCTAGAACTATATGAGAATGGTTCCTCCCCCCCCCTCCCCAGAGAGCTAGTGTTCAGTGGTCAAATTTGCTTACCATCCAACCATAAAAGCATGCTAATCCAGGCTATTTGAGTGCTCCCGCTTGGTTCCTCTGATTGCAAGCACAAATCAACAAATCGGGACACCCTATTATTTTTTCTGTTACAGACAAATTAGATACCCTGACTTGTTCCTCGTCTAACAAGTCACCAATAAATTACGAGTGGTTCTCCATTTAAAACAGTTTGTTTAGTGACTGTTCGAACAGTGGTGGTATTCTACTGGTTCACCTGAAGGGGTAGCGGAAATTGCAGGTGGCTTCGCCTACCCGCCCCAGCTCTACGGCATCCCATTTAGGCCCCCTTTTTAGGCAAAGTGTATGCATGCACATTCATATTTGCGAACTGGTAGGGAAGGTAAGTTATTGCTACCCTTGCGTTCAAAGTTACAATGGCACTGAGAAAAATGACTTATGACCATTTTTCAAACTGCAGTGATTCGCTTAAGAGATGTAGCAAGGAAAAGTTGTAAAATGGAGCCAAACTCACGTAACACGTTTCTCATTTTGCAACATAAATGAGTTGGGCTTCAACTCTGGTCGTAAATCAAGGACTACCCGTAAGTATGTTTTTGATTGTGATTATGGCTTCTTAAAAAAAGTAACAAGCAAGTCACAGAACAATCACTTTCTTGGAGTCTTTAGCTCCTCCCACTGGCAAGAAGAGTCAAGTGGGGGGGTCAGATAGAAAAAGGAATAATCAACACAACAACTGATCTGTGTAATCCTTCTCAGGATGCTTCCAAATTTCTGCTTATCAAAATGTATCAACTAGTCCAGTGACCTCCAACCTTTTGAGTACCAGGGACTGGTTTCGTGAAAAGAAGTTTTTCCGCAGAGGCATGGCTTCACAGTCTGCCTGCATCCCGCGAATGGGGCTTTGCTTGTTTGTACGGCCCGGTTTTTGGCATGCCACAGCCCGCTGCTGGTCTACAAACCCAGGGTTTGGAACCCCCACTTCATTACAAGAAATGTTACATTTTTTTGTTAATGTTAGTGGAATCACTTGGGGGTAGTTATCAAATAATATCCTAAATATCCACTCTGTGATTCAGTCCTTATTCTTTGAAACAACTATCCTTATCCATAACAAATTGATGAGAAAATTGCTCATAGGCAATACACAGTCAAAGAACATCCAGTTCTTTTTCAAGGTACCTGTAAACATAAATCCAAATAAATCACATGACTTCTGTGAAGCAACATGTCCTTTTTCCTTTCTAGAAAGTTTACTTTTTGGTTGTGCGAAGAATCAGGGACAATACATAGTTTTTCATCAACTTACGGCAATTTCTCTCATCTGAAGTGCCATTATCGTAACAGTTGTTTGCACCATTGCAGACGTACTGAAGAGAGATACACCTTCCATTATTGCAAGTAAATTCTGTCTGGGGGTCACAAGTTCGGAACAAGCATCCCACCTCATCACTGTTGTCTCCACAGTCATTGTAGTGATCACAGCGATAAGAGTAGCGTACACATCGCCCATTGCCGCAGGTGAAAGCTGTTGGCTGACAGGTATGAAAAGCTGAAGGAAAGGAATGTGACAAAGAAATGTCATTGACAGAAGGGACTCAAACAAGCCTTGACAAATTCTCCTCAGAAATACAATGCTGAATTGATTTTACCTGCCAAGGCAAATACAGCTGCAAAACGGACAGCGTGTAAATCAGACAAAGAGAAGATAAAATTTCATTTTAGCAACCGAATTGACAATTCTGTGGCTTTACAAATCCCTACAAATGCAGTTTCCTCATTCATGAAAATTAATGAGGTGAATTGGAAACGAATGGGAATGGAAGGAGGCTAACATGCCACTACGGCCTTGCCATAAAGGCCTGGTCAGAGAGTGTTATCCTTACAAAGTCAGTGGAAAATATAACCTTCCTTCGCATTCCCAAGTCTGCTCCGGTTATTTTCTTTTTATTTTTCTTGAGAATTTTTACATAATTAAAAGATAAGAAAGAAAAAAGAAAGCAAAAAGACTAAAAACAGTACCGATCAAGAAAAACAAAAACAGAAAAAAAGATCTGCTTCAGTATTTTCAAAGAGCATTAATAGAAAGGAACAAAGTCCTCAAATGTACTCTAGCCCATATTTTGGGCATAATTCTGCACATAGATCTTTCCTCCCATGTTAATCGTCCTGTAAAGCTTGGGAAACTATTCACTCCATATATGTCAATAAGATAAAATAGAGTATAATATTTGAAGCATAATTGCAATCTAAGAAAAACCATACACTATCAGAAATAGTGTTTATTGTTCTTAGAATTTTGTTCGTGAAACCAAAACTGTTTTGGATTTTTTTTTTTTAAAGAAACTCCAAATTTCATGCCAATAACTTCTTACATTGAATACTAATTTCCTAGTACGTATTTTTCTTCCCTTGCATGTTACAAAATCAGTGGTTTTAACATTTCTATCCTCTTCCCTCATGCGGGAGGCTCAGTGGCTAAGACGCTGAATTTGTCAATCAGAAAGGTCTGCAGTTCGGCAGTTTGAATCCCTAGTGCCGCGTAATGAAGTGAGCTCCCGTTACTTGTCCCAGCTTCTGCCAACCTAGCAATTTGAAAGCACATGAAAATGCAAATAGAAAAATAGGAACCACCTTTGGTGGGATGGTGATAGCGTTCCATGTGCCTTTGGCATTTAGTCATGCCAGCCACATGACCAGGGAGACGTCTTCAGACAGGGCTGTCTCTTTGGCTTTGAAACGGAGATGAGCACCGCCCCCTAGAGTCAGGAACGACTAGGACATATGTGCGAGGGGAACCTTTACCTTTATTCTCTTCCTCGCATTAATCCAAGGAAGAATTTGAACCATTCGGGTTTTTTTTTCACCAAAGCAATGGAATCTTCAACTAACTCTGCTTTGTATAGTCAATAGGCCATTGGACTCTGGACCAAACAGATACTAGTTATCTTTTTTGGTTTAGTTTTTGTCCCCAAAATGGCTTTGCTAAAAACAGCTGTAATTGGGCAATAGCTTTTGTTTTAATCATGGAAGTACTTACCACACACACTTTCCAACTCATCACTGCCATCCCTACAGTCATCATCATTGTCACATGTCCAGCGTTCAGAGATGCAACGGCCATTAAGACAAGTGAAGTGGGTACTTCCACACCTGGTGCCATTGTCCACAATACAGTGTTTGTTGTTGTTGGCTAAATACCAGCGTCCTTCGGCAGGACATTGACACTCTGCACCACCTGGGCCTATATTTCATTGCATCAACAACAAAAGAAGAAACTGGGTTAATAATATATTTAGATAGCATCTCTCCCCAATATTAATCATAAATCCACCAAGAAATTTACCCAGAATTACCAAAATGTCCTATGACACATCCCCTAATACTTTAAACCAGAGGTCCTCAACCTTGGCAACTTTAAGACTTGTGGACTTCAACTCGCAGAGTTCCTCATCCAGCTTTGCTGGCTTCACTGGCTGAGAAATTCTGGGAGTTGAAGTCCACAAGTCTTAAAATTGCCAAGGTTGGAGACCTCTGCTTAAACAATACAGGTAGCCCTCAACTTACGACCACAACTGAGCACAAAAGTTCTGTTCTTAAGTGAGACATTTGTTAAGTCAGTTTTGCCCCATTTTACATTTATTGCCACAGTTGTTAAGTGAGTCACTGCAGTTGTTAAGTTAGTAATGTAATGTTTATTCCATTTGTATGCCGCCCTATTCCCGAGAGACTCAGGGCGGCTAACAAGCAGAGGTGAAGGGGAATACAAATAGTAACACGGTTGTTAAGTGAATCTGGCTTCCCCATTGACTTCACTTGTCAGAAGGTCAAAAATAAAGTTGATCATATGACCTTGGGATATAGCAACGGTCATAAGTATGAACCAATTGCCAAGAATTTGGATCATAGGGATGCTGCAAAGGTTGTAACTGTGAAAAATGGTCATAAATCATATTTTCCAATGCCATTGTAACTTTGAAAGGACACTAAATGAGCTGTTGTAAGTCAAGGACTACCTGTATTCTCCATAGGATTCTAGATCAGCTCTATTTGTAAATGGGGCTATTGCAGAAAAAAGTTTTCAGAACTGCAATTATTACAACTGAGATTAATTTGTAAAAGGGAAAAGGCAGTCTATGATGGAGGGAGGCTATAGCATTCTGCCATATTTTGCATCAGCGGGAATTCAATATTGATTTCAGCAAACGTAACAAAACAGGAAGGTGATGACAGAGTAGAAAAGAGATTTACAGTTTTAAAAATCTGTCAAATAGCAATGAAAACATTTTTTAGTTGTCCACCAATAGGGGTGTTTATTTAAATATGCAAAACATCAGTAATCCCATTAACTTTCTGCATGCTTAGACTATGATTCTTTCCTATAAATCAACATATGTCGAAAACCCAATCCCAGCGACAAACATAGCAAGTCAGCATGGGCTTACATATTATATGAATGTTTTGCCCAATTCCTGCAGCATTGGTAAATACTAAAGGCCCATTTAGTAAATGGTCTTACACTGTAATCTAAAAATAATATGAGCTGCGCTGGTGCAGTGCTGAGAATGTAGTACTGCAGGCTACTTCTACTGACTGCAATTTGGCAGTTCAAATCTCACCAGGTTCAAGGTTGACTCAGCCTTCCATCTTTCCGAAGTGGGTAAAATGAGGACCCAGATTGTTGGGGCCAATAGGCTGACTCAGTAAACCCCTTAGAAAGGGTTGTAAAAGCACTGTGAAGCATTATATAAGTCTAAGTGCTATTGTTAATTATATGCCAGAGGCCCAGGCTTGCAAGCAGAAGTCCCCCAGATGAATCCTTGATGTCTCCAGTTCGACAAATCAAGAGGCAAGTTGCTGCCATTGATGGGGCTGAAGGGCCAATCAACTCCATTTCATACTTTAGTGTCAGATAAATTTATAAAGGCTGAGCTATCTGGACTGTTATATACTATACATTCTACATGGCCAAAGTACTGTATCTTGATTTCCTAGTGTGCAAGTATTAAAATAATAAATAATTCAGCCCTTCAGATATTTTGCTCATACCCATCTTTCGAACACAACTGAAAGTTGTTCAACTCATTATTCCCTATTGCTCAATATTTTACCTGGCACGCAGATGTGACTGCAACCACCATTAAATTGGTTGCAAGGGTTGTTGCACTGCTGTTGCTTGCTTTTGGCCCAGATGTGAATATCCATCGGTCTGTATGGTAGGTTTGATACCATCACAATTTGATCTGACCCATCGTATTTGTTGGCTCGATAAACACTTCGGGTATTCCAGTCTGTCCAGTAAATGTGTTGATCAAATAGGGTCATTGCAAATGGATAGAGGGCGGTGCTAATGATGACCTCACGGTTTTCACCCAATAAGGAGCTGCGTTCAATCTTCTGTCTAAAACAAGTAGGAAACATCAGCACTGGAACACAAAACATGAGCTTCCAACATTTCTTGAGTTCCACAGGGAAAATATTATAGATTGGGGGTGTCAAACTCAAGACCCACAGGCTGGATGCGGCTGGAGAGGTGCTTAGATCTGGCTTGCTGGAAAATAGCAAAGGACCAGCCCGCTGTGCCTCTGCCAGTGAAAATGGAGTTTTGGAGGACTGCACATGGCTACCCCCACCCACCCCCCAGGCTCCATTTTCACTCCATTTGCAGGACGCCGTCATGGCCAAAAATGGAGCTTAGGAGACCATTTTCACTGGCAGAGCACTAGGATCACCACAGCCCCGCAACATGAGTGACATTAAGATGGCGATGCACATCCTGGCCACCCAAGATCAAACACAACCCTGATGTGGTCCTCAATGAAATGAAGTTGATACCCCTGTGTAGATCGATTCCTTATTTTTTCATAAATTTCAAGACTCTCTTGTACCCTGAACATTCACATCATTTAGTATTATTTCTGAAATCTGAGTGAACAACATACAGCAATCCTTATATGAAACCTGAATCCCTTTTTTGCAGTCACTAGACTTTGCTCTAGCTGTTCCTCTGTGGCTGGAAATAAATTCCATGGTATCTCATCACTTTTAAGATAGGAACCCTATGGAAATTTAAAACCCAAGATCTGCTGAAAAAAATTAGGAAAGGCTTCATATCCCTTAATAAAATCAAAGGGGGAGAAGCCCAGCCATTTCAAAATAAATGACAACTTCATGTCATTGTCCCATCAATTATGGATCATGGCCACCAAAAGGCATTTCTTCTGTTTTCAATCATAAATATTTATTTAGAATAAATAAGGGAAGGACCAAGTGTGTGCATTAGATGAAAATGCTTAACAGTGTGCAAATGAAATAGTAAGCAAATACATACAAACTTGCGTCAGCCCAATAAAGTCGCTGTTCTTCATAGTCCAGTGTGAGACCATTTGGCCATACTAAGTTGGTGCTCACAATAGCACTCCTGAAGTTTCCTCCAAGTGTTGCTTGTTCTATCTTAGCATTAGAGCTCCAGTCGGTCCAGTACATGTACCTGGTGATGACACAATTACCCAAAGCTTCTTAATTCAGAGAAATCTACTTAGCAATAACACTAGCAATTGCACTTAGACTTATATAATGCTTCACAGTGCTTTACAGCCCTCTCTAAGAGGCTTACAAAGTCAGCATATTGCCCCCCCCCCACATTTTACCAATCTCAGAAGGATGGAAGGCTGAGTCAACCTTGAGCTGGTCAGGATCGAACTGCTGGCTATGGGCAGAGTCAGCTTTCAATACTGCATTCTAACTACTGTGCCACCATGGCTCTTTCATCTACTGGTACAAGTAAACATAGGAAGAGCAAAGGGGCTTCACTATTTGGAGGAAAGTGGACAGAATTTTGCACTTTTCAAACTTGGTTGAGGAGATATCAGACCTGATCCTAAACCATACTATAAACAGGAGGTAAATCTAGGGTAGGGGTACATAACAGGCTACCCACTAACACCAACAGTCCCAGACAATGGCAGCTTTGCCCTAAATTAAATTACAATCAAGCTACAAAGAAATGACCATTTTACAACACTGAAAAAAATCACACTGTGCCTTGTGCAAAGCCTCTTAAAGATTGGATATCTGAAATTAACTCACGGTAGTTCAGTCCTCTGATTCACTCTCATAGAATAGGATAAAGAGTGAAATTCCCTGCATTTTTGTTTTCCTAACTGAATGACAAACCAGGTGTGATGAGCAGAAATAAAATGAGGATTGTTTATTTGGAAAATAATGATGAATGGACATTCTAGCCCCCCCACCCCCGAGTCAAAATAATATGTTGCCCCAGCTGCTGTTCTGTCCACCACAATTTCATTTTCCTACTATGCTCTGCTCTGTTTTTTTCCTCTCTGATTCTCCTTAAGGTATAGTCAGTTGGGAAAGAGGCCTTCACCTTGGCCATTGTGTAGAAGGTCTAGAGAATGGCCTTGAAAGACCAGAGGAAGAGCAACTACCAAGCCATTGGTCAGATAAGCAGGAATTGTGTCTGTTCCATGAAACAATTTGAGAAAATGTTTCAGACAGACCCCTCCTTAGTTCATGCAAAGATAAAGTGAGAAAGAAGGAAATACTTGCAAGATTCCACTACTATAATTGTTCCAGCAAAAGCAATCCTGATCTATATGGTGTTGGTTTCTTAAAATTGGTCTACCATCAGGGGTGGGATTCCGCTGATTTGGATCAGTTCAGGCGAACTGGATGCTAATTTGGCATCTGGTTCGCCAAACCAAGAGTTGGAAGGACTGCCTGCCCCACCCTGCCCCTCCCATCTCAGGAGTCTCCACGCAGTCCATTCATCATGCCAGGTAAGTGCAGGGCCTGTGAGGAGGCTCTGTGCGGGGGAAAAAAACGGGCCTCCAGAAGTTCCAGAAGTACAGAAACGGCCCTATTTCTGGCCTCCGGAGGGCCTTCGGAGCCTGGGGGAGGCAGTGTTTGCCCTCCCAGAGGCTTGACGAAAGCCTCCAGAACCCAGGGAGGGCAAAAAATGGCCTTCCCAAAAGTTCCAGAAATCCAGAAACAGGTCTGTTTCTGGCCTCCAGAGGGATTCAGAGCCCATTTTCGCCCTCCTGAAGGCTCAAGAAAAGCCTCTGGAGCCTGGGAAGTAAACCCCCCCCCAATTGAGGCAGAAGGCTGGGTAGGCCATGCCTCCCCATAGCCATGCCTACCTAGCAACCAGGCAGAGAACCGGTTACTAAAAATTTTCAATCTCACCCTTGTCTACCATGTAAGGCTGACAAACTGTGAAAACAATACAACAACACAAATTATGTCTGTGACTGTCCTCCTTGATGAGAGGAAGATCCTTCAATAAAAGGAAGCATTGCTCAACAGGGAGAGTAAGGGAGAGTACTACTACCCAGCTCCTATGCACAATGCAAGCTGTTTTGCTATGACACAGCTATGTTCTTCCCTTTTCTTTGAAAGATAAACTAGACCTACTTAGCTCCATGGGAGAAAGAAGGATGCCTTCCAGACACTCAAGGCTCTAAGAATTGTCTGCCTAGGAATGAATTTAAAAAAAGAATCTGCACATGTACACAAAGTATAATAGTGTATTTCTAGTTACTAATTGGAATATTTATTATTCATTCATTATTAATTGCCCTATGACGGTTGTGAAGTTGAAGAGAGAGAGAAAAGCTGTAGTGGAAACAGATACATCTTTCCTTATGCAGAATGGGCAACTTACCCTCGGCAAGGATCCAAGACAATGGCCCTTGGCCGTGGGACACGAGCCACTACTGAACGATTAGATCCATCCACAGCCATTGAACTGATGGTCTGATTGAGATAGTCACTGTAATAAAGTCTGTTGTTGATCCAGTCAAAGGCAATGCCATCTGGAGCTCCCAAATCTTTCGGCGTATCAAACAGGATAACAGGGAACAAAAAAGTTCTGAGCATGAAAATCATCCCAGCAATGAAAACTTTTTAAAAAAATACCGCTTCTTTTCTAGTTCCAACTATTACCAGGGGGAATTTGCACTAAATCAAATGAGAAGGTTTTTATCCCATAGCAAAAAGAAGAAGAAGAAACTGTGTCACTGGATTAAGATGAAGAAGACTTCTTAAGAGCTCCTACACTTCTGGTATTTTGAAAGGTTTTGCCCTTGCAAGCTTCATTTAAAAAAAAAAAAAAGCATCACAAGTAAATTAAAGAGTAGCGGCTACATATTACTAGTGGCAATGCTCAACTAATCAATGCAGTCCAAAGCATTGTCTCTAGCAGAAAGCTTCTTTGCTGTTGATTGATATCCAGCCCCGCTGTTGATTGATATCCAGCCCTGGTTAGATGGAATGGATGATCTTGAATTTTAATATTGTATTTTCTATTTTTAAATTTTAAACGTTTTTTTGTCTTGTTGTGAGCCGCCCAGAGTCCCAATGGGAGTGGGCGGCATACAAATTTTATTAAACTTGGAAACTTCTTTGCCTGAAGCTGCAATGACCTAGTTCTATGCCAAGTTAGTATTAAGGTTTGTGGTGTTTTTTACATAATTCTTAACTCATTTTGAAGTAATGTCCTGGCTGAGGAAAAGTGTAAAGTTTCAAAAAAAGGCAATATAAATTATTAGTTTGTCATAAAATGAATCGGTAGGGCCTAGATGTATGAAACAAATTTCAGTTGCAATGGCATTTACTCAGATAAACACGCTTAGGTTCACAACTAATGGAACATTATTAATTTTTCTTCCTGGTAATCATACTTTCAATAACTTCTGCAAAATACCTTCCAAGAAGCAGGTTACAATCCGATATACACTTTGGATAATCCTCTGAGTAAATATTTAGTTCTTAGAAAATGCATATTCTATGTGAGAAACTCATATAAAAGATTGGCCTATAACAGGGGTCAGCAACCCATGGCTCTGGAGCAGCATGTGGCTCTTTCATCCCTCTGCTGCGGCTCCCTGTGGCCAGTCGGTAAAAGGATGCCATGCTAAGAGGAGACTCTATGGTGGGGGAACAGGACTTCCAGTTGGCTCCAGAATTGAACCGAGGGGGGGGGGAGTGGTTTTCGGTTAGGACCTTTGTGGCTCATTGAGCGTTTAAGATTGCTGACCCCTGGCCTATACGTTACCTTAAAAATAGTTCTGAATTCTGATATTTACCTGATGCTACTACTATGGGATTACTGCTTCCAGAATGGATACTGATATAGCTGATTTTTCCTGGTCCTGTCGAAGAACTTTGAGTAAAATATATTAAACTGTTTGCACTATCGTAGTCCAGAGCGACCGCAGTCCTTGGTACGGACATTGTATGGAATGGAGGGCTATGATTTTCAGGATCCAGGTGTATACTTCTAAGGCCATTCTCCAAAGCAAAGATCAAGTAATTATCTGTTGAAATAAAACACCTCTTCCCATCGCTTCCCAGCAATCCAAATGCACACCCACACTTTGGTGTTTGCAGATCAGGAAGTGCAAAGCACAGATGGTCACAGCCACCGTTATTCTGTAGGCATGGATTGTAGTTGACATCCGCAGGGGCCAATGACTGGTAAAGGCTATTGTAAATAGTCACATCTCTCAACCAATTGATGTTGTCTCTTATAACCGTTGGCTGCTCGGTATTTCCTGGCTCTTTACTGGCTTGAAATATTTTTTTCAAGTTCCTATCCACCCAAATGATAGAGTTTTCAAAAATGGTGAGGCCATACGGTGTTGGGTAACGGCTGCCGTAGCGGATAATTTCAGGCTCACCGCCATCACGAGAAATTCTTGCAATCATGTCTAAGGAATCATCCACCCAATAAATGTAACCAGTGCGATGATCAACGGCTAATCCTCGTGGAGTTACAATTCCTTCAGACACTAACACAGTCCTGTTGCTGCCATCAAGAAATGCACGTTCTATTTTGGGATCTTGTCCATAGTCTGCCCAAAAGAGGTATCTGTTCTTGGGATCGACTACTATATGTCGTGGCATATCCACTGTGGTTTTAAGTAGCACACGTCGATAAGAGGTATTTAAACGCAGAACTTCAATAAATGTTTCGGTCAAGAATGCATTGGTGAAGTAGAGGTTTCCTGCATACAGCAAAATAAAATGAAAAATACTGAATTCTCTATATATGATATATGTAATATATGATTCAGAACTAGTACAGTTTTATACAAAATAACACATATCACTACAAGATAGAAACTTTAAGAAAAATCCTGCAATTTAGATCCTATATAGACATAGGTATATTTTAAATTGACTTAACAACAAATAAAATGTCTAAATGTCTAAACATGTTTAAGCATTAACAATGAATTAACATGGTTTGAAGTGCCCTTGCTAAGTTTGATTTACATGGCTAAAGTTTGCATACATCCTCAACCATGACTGAATAACTTTCCGATTGTCTTACCCTAGCTGGAAAAATAAAGATCTTCTAGAACAAGGGTGTCAAACTCATGTTGTCACTTTGTCATCAGGTGATATAGCATGACTTTTTCCCCCTTCACTAAACTGGGGGTTGGGGTAGCCAGCGCATGACATATCATGCCCACGTGCTGCGAGTTTGACATCTGTGTTATAGAAGATCAACATAACTGATAGAAGCTGTTCCACATCATCATGCTCTTACATATACTTTGGAAAATTCATTGAAAATTAAGGCCAGGGTACCATCCATAACCTTGGGAGAAAAATCCTATTGATTTCTGTGAAATTTCACTCATAGTAAACAGATGGAGTTCAGTTTAAGGATTTCTGAAAAGTAAATTCCACCAACCATTTTTTTAATGCTGTCATAATACTGACCTGCTACCCAATCAATGGCAATGCCTCGGATCCCATTGAATCCTATCCCGTTTGTGACAACATTCATAAAATTGGAACCATCTGGCTTGATTTTACGAATTCCATTCTGGGATGGAATTCGGCTGCTGAAGTCACACCAGAAAATGAAACCTGAAGGCATGTGAACGTCCACGTGCAATGCGTTTCTCCCTGCAAGGTTAGGATGAAGGAAACACGTTGTTTATTTTTAATTTCACCATTCTAACAGATATTGTGGTGGTAGGATTTCCATCAAACCCCGGCCCTTTGCTCAGCATCCTTTAGAATCCACTAAAACATTCCTAAAATATAACATGAAATCATCAGTCCCTTGATTTGGGATGAGAACTGAAAGGATAAAAATATGACAATTAATCTTCTATTTACTAATGGGAGAAAATCACAATCATTCCCCCAATATTAAAAAATGGTCCAATTGGGTTCAGGGATGGGATTCAAAAATTTAAGCAAGGAGGTCTCTGCCTGGTTGCTTGGTGGTCGTGGCCACACTGGGCGTGGCCTAATTGACCTCCTGCACCATGGCGAGAAGGTGTTTTTGCCCACCCCGGGATCTGGAGGCTTTTCTCAATTCTCCGGGAGGGTCAAAATGGTCTCCCTAGGTTCTGGAGGCCCTCTGCAGGCTGGAAACAGGCCTGTTTCTGGCCTTCCCAAACTTCAGGTAGGGCCGTTTTTCACCATCCCCAAGCCTCTGTGAGCGCCCTGCATTTCTGCATCCAAAATGGGCCGCAAGGGGATTCCAGGGAGGGGAGGGTTGGGTGGTGCCAGTCAGGAGTGGGATTGGGGGGTTCTCCAAACTGCACAGAAACTTTGCTAGAGGTTCTCCCAAATCCCTGCAAACCCCCAGCAGCTTACCTCTGATTGGGTCCTGCCCCGCATTCACTGTTACAGCTCTGTAACAATTGCCAATGTTTCTAAAAATTAACCTGTTACATTGCTGAGTCAGACTTTACAATATTGGGTAAAAGTAACCCCCTCACTATTAGCCTTATATCGGTGTCTAAAATAATCCAACAGGATTTATTTATTTATTTTTGGTGTGATTAGAAATCATTTCTAAGTTTGGACCAGAAAGTGAAATCTTTTTACTCTACAATCCAACGTTGATTTGCCTAAAAATAAACACTTTACTTCTAAGCAGAAATGTAAAGGATTGCACTATTATTATTTTTTCACCTGTTGGAACTGATGATCCATTGGGGTGGGGGGGAAAGGAAGCAGTTCCACTACTTCATTGTTTCTCTTTTTTCAAGTGTTCAAGTGTTCAAAAAAGTCATTTGAAGAAGTGCTATATTAACTTTTGGATTTGTCAGTTAGAATTGTTTATGATCATATAAATACTGTGTAATATTGAATTTTAGATCAATATGTTAATATAGCTTATATGTGACGTATAACTGTATCGAAGAAAGTTAGAAGTTAAGAAAGAAGAAAATAAAAATTTAAAATTAATTTCTTTTCTTCTTTCTTCCCCTTGCTTATTTTTCCCTTGATTCTTTTTTTTATTCTTTAAATTTGATATTTTGTAGAAATTTAATAAAGTATATTTAAAGCCATTTAACACCAACCTCAATGCCTCATGAGATACCAGTGTTTGCTCTTTGGAGACTAAGTCCTTCTCCTTTATTGATTCCTATCTAACATTCTGAGTTAAAATGATTTTTGCCTAGATTTACCGTATCTTTCGGAGTATAAGACTCATCGGAGTATAAGACGCATCAAGGTTTTGAAAAGGCAAATTTTTAAAAAAAGTTTTTGCACTCTGCAAACCTCCCCAAAACAGCCTGCTTTTTTTTTCAAAAAAAGGGCATGAATAGCCCTTAGGAGGCTTGTAGAGTGTTCCTGGGCGGGTTGGGGCGGGGGGGGGAAATGAGCCAAAACCACCCCGTTTTTTGCGAAAACAGGCCCATTTTTTGTCAAAAAAAAGGGCATTAGGAAGCTTATAGAGTGCTCCTGGGGGCTGGAGAGGGGCAAAATTGAGCAAAAAACGGTCCATTTTTGCTCATTTCTGCCCTCCCCAGCCCCCAGGAGCTTTTTGAAAGCCTCCTACAAGCTGCATGACCATTTTGGCGAAGGGGCGGGGTTTTGGGAGGCAAAAAAATGCTGTATTCAGTGTATAAGACGCACCCAGATTTTCAGTCTCTTTTTTGAGGGAAAAAGACGTGTCTTATACTCCCAAAAATACGGTACATAATTATGCTTTGTCGTCTTGAGCTACTAGAATTCCAATCACAACCTAAAATACACATACACATTTTGCAAGCCCTATGCCATAAATGAGTCACTTCTAAGTGGGAGATTATGTCAGAAAGCTAAGAGGTTGCAGTTCTTCCCTCAAAAGTTTACCCACCTCTTCCTGCCATGGACACCATTGCTTCAGAGTGGTCAGATGTCTCTAAGCTAAATCCTTTAATAGCGGACAGCATGGATACGACGACAAAGGAACTGTATGGAGAGCAGGTCCTATTATCAGAATTGAGCTGAAAGCCGGTAGCACAGGCACAAGAGAAGAGGCCCCCTGGCAAAGGCAGACAGAAATGCTGACAAGTCCCAACTTGGTTGCTGCAGCCATTGGAGGAACCGGCAGAATCTAAAACAGGGAGGGAGAGAAAAAGATTTACTCCATCGAGGATAAACTCAAGGGAGAGGTTTGAATTGAATGAGCTAATTGGAGTTAATTGGGCTTATATTGATGTGATAAATATAATTGAATGAGCGCTCCAATGTAGTTTTGTGTTTTGAGTTCTGGATTTAAAATGAAAATGTTTTTTTTCTCCCTTTATGTATAACTAGCTGGATATTCGTGCTCCGCTATGAAACTATGTGATTGGGCTTGATAAATCAACACTTACAGTTGAAAGTTAATAAGTAGTTATGATCCTCTCCTCATCCCTTCTCTCCCTCAGGCTTGCCCCATAAAAGCCTCTCCTCTCCTATCCCCCTTCTCTCCCTCAGGCTTGCCTCACAGAGGTCTCTGCTATCTTATCCCCTTCTCTCCCTCAGTCTAACTCCTTAGCATCAGTGCGTTTTTCAGGTGGAGAGGAGGAGTAGAATATCTGAACTCCCAGCCCACAGGCTGGATGAGTCACATGCTGGCCATGTTCATGCCCAAGTGGCAGTTGAAACAGAATTCTTTTCAGGTGGGGAGAGGGAGTAGAACATCTAACTCCTTAGCATCAGAATGTGTTAATAATAATTTAAGAAATACCTCATCTGATGACCATTTCAAAAAATCCTTTTTTAGTGAGCACTTAGAAGCCAAGAGGAACATACGTGCCAAATTTCAGGTTTGTAGGCTTTCTAGTCTGGAGATTTTGTGATGATGCGTGAGTGGTAATTCACTTTTATATATATAGATACTTGAGTATTTTTTTAAAATTCATAAAATATCAAAACTAAAAAAAGTGTTTTCTTCCTTTGCGGTTAAAAAAGTTGAAATAATATAGAGGATTCTCTTAATATGAATTGTGATAAAGATGAATGAGTTAACAGAAGCATATATTATTCCCCATAGCAAAGAGAAGTACAGACGGTCAAATGGATTCTTTTCTCCAAAGAAGAGAATATATCTAACCTTGTTTTCTATTCTGAAATTGCTGGTGGATATTGTGCTTGCAATGGGAAAAAAATGAAACTTTGATTTTGTTTTTTCTAATTATTATAGAAATGGCTTGTATATTCTGTTTTGTAAAAGTAAAAAGTTTCGGTTGTAATGTTGTTATCTTCTACTGTGCTAAAGAGAGTGGAAAGTTGGTGCCTTTTCCTTTCCTTTTCCCTCTTTACACCATATTTTTTTTCTTTAGCCTCCTCCTCCTCTTAGTTTTCTATTACTTTTTTGAATATTTCTTTGTATTTTCTATTTTGATCAACCAATGAAAAAGTTAAAGCAGAGAGAGATGAAAGGGCAGGTTGAGTCTTTCCAGAAGACTCTTGAGGGAAATGAAAAGGGCATTTTTTATAAATTAATCACTCAGAATACAGCTGGAAAGGACCTTGGAGGTCTTCTAGTCCAGCCCCCTGCTCAAGCAGGAGAACCTATACAGTTTCAGACAAGTGACTGTCCAGCAAATCATCACCTACTGACGCAAACTCAAAATACTGAGCATGTGAAAGGACTTTCAAAGGCTTATTTTATACGAACCATCTCGGTAATACACCCGGAGACATTTTAGTCCTGAAATGTTGTCTCTTAACACCACTTTGTTTGCTCCAGTTGACTTGTCAACCCGTTCGATGACTTCATAATCCCGGTCCGTGTAGTAGAGAAAAGAACCATAGACAGCCAGTCCCCACGGGTGAGAGAGGTGAACAACCAAAGTCATCCGATTTGTACCATCCACATTCCCTCGTTCGATCTAGAAGAGGATCAAAATTGAATACCACCAGTGAAAGCAAAACCGGCGTTTTATGAGTACAAATCATAAACTCGTATCTTAAAAGACAGACGTGAGGTTTGACAATGATTGATCTTTTCCCTTGCCTGTCTTGAGAAACTAAGCAATTCCCCCCCCCAACCCACTCCCAATGTCATCTCTTTCCTTAAAGAATTAGCAAACATAAATGGAAGCAACATTTGAGATCAAGTTGGCACTGGGGTGATGCAATTCTGTTGAAAGGTCAGTTGGAAAGTACAGTAGCTTCTGAAGTAGATGTGTGAGCCTGGGAAAAGATATGACTGCTTTAATTGTTTTGGGGGGAAAGGTCCTGGATACAGGGTCCCTGCACCTTCTGAAATTCCATTTTCAAAGGATTTGCAACATCCCATCTGCCACGCTGGGTGAACATCAGTTTTCTTTACATCCCTGTTTATCCCAAAGGTGCTTTTTCGGAGAGGCAACTGGACTTCCTGGTTTTCCTTTGAAGATGATTCATTCTCCTCCAAGAAGCTTCTTCAGTTCTGACTGAAGAAGGTGGGGAATGGAAGGATTGATACTCCTTGCAGAAAGCTAGACATTTGCATTCTTTTATCAAGTTAAGGTTACCTGGAGGCTTATCTCCATCATCAGTAGTGCAAATGGGTGTGAAGCCTTCTTGGAACTGTTGAAAGGACTGTGTTGTAGATTGGGGGTAGACGATGTCATACCCCTCCCCCTCTGTTGAGAGAGGGATGTTCAATTTTGACATAGATGGCCTCTTTAACCCCTCTTTTAACCCGTCTCTGTCCAAAATATGGGCTTTGTTGTCTTCAAAAGAGTGGCCTGTGTCTTTTAAATGCAGATGCACTGCTGAATCTAGTCCTGATGTGTTCGTTCTCCTATGCTGTGCCATGTGTTTATGAAGTGGCTGTTTTGTTTCCCCAATGTACAGATCTGCACATGGCTCGCTGATATTGTACTGCATACGCCACGTTGCTCAGTTTCTATCTGGGTATTTTATCCACTGGATAGTGCCTTCCCCACTATCCAGTCAGAGCGGAAGAAGCTTCTTGGATGAGAAACGAAATGTCTCCAAAGAAAAACCAGAAAGTCCAGTTGCCTCTTGAAAAAAAGCAGCTTTTGGACAACCGTGATCTGGATGACTGAAAATCTCCACAGACATTTAGCGACATCGTTGTTTATGCATATCTGTGTTTCTTCTTGATGAAGCTGTTTTTCCTATCCTTTTAACGTTGTGGGAAGTGAAAATAAAATTTTATTTGTACAAAGAAACGGGAAATATGATGTAGCTTTTGGGTTTGTCTGTTTTAACATTTAATGACCAGAGAGAGATTTACTATCAGAAGAAACTCAAAAAAACGTTTAGGCAACCTGCTGGGACTAACTTGCCTGAAGCCTTTCCAATTCTGGCAACCCCACTGAGTACATTCTTAATGTGTGTAAGCAGATCCATTCTTTCCCCTAACATCCCTCTTCGGATCACTCCTGCTTTAAGCTGCAGATTGCTGGCAGGCAAAAAGATGTAGGGACCCTTCTGAATACGTACCACTCCAGTGCTTGTGACTGGCCAATACAGCTTTTGTTCCTTGATATCGATGGTAATAAACTCAACGTGGTCTAGATTACCCATGAAGAGAGTTCTGATATTAGACCCATCCATGTTTGCGCTGGCAACCTTTGCCGGGATCCCACTATCTGTTCCTTGGTCTGTCCAATACAATTTCCTGCAACAATTTCCAGCAATCAAAACACAAGGAAAGTATGGTGAATATATCATGCTGTTATTAATACAAATGCATGGGCATTGGGAGATTAATTCAAAGATTGCTAACATATACTGAATGGTAAAATTTACTGAGATGACTAGGGCTTTTTTAAATCTGTGTAAGTATACAACGCGGTGGCTCAGTGACTAAGACACTGAGCTTGTGAATCAGAAAAGTCGGCATTTCGGAGGTTCAAATCCCTACCGCCGCATAATGGAGTGAGCTCCCATTACTTGTCCCAGCTTCTGCCAACCTAGCAGTTCAAAAGCATGTAAAAATGGAAGTGGAAAAATAGGAACCACCTTTGGTGGGAAGGTAACAGCGCTCGGTGCGCCTTTGGAATTAAGTCATGCTGGCCACATGACCACAGAGATGTCTTCAGACAGCCCTAGCTCTTTGGCTTTGAAACGGAGATGAGCACCGCCCACTAGAGTTGGAAATGACTAACACATATGTGCAAGGGGAACCTTTACCTTAAGTATACAAATGTTGTGTGCACAACCCTACTCTGAGGAAGCAGGCATACATTTGCCCTCTAAGAAATAGTCACGTTTATATAATGCACAATTGCTGCTCAATTTTATCACACAGAGATAGGCATACAGCTAAAACAGTATTGTAGCTGCTGTGGATATTAACAATAATATTAATAATATTAACAATATGTTTAGGTTATTAATTTATTATTTATATTATATATAATATTCTATACTATTAATTATTAATAATAAATAGATTTTCATCTTTTTGTGGAGAAGTTCTGGAACCTATTTTAGAGTTAGATTCTCATTTAATCTTCCAAGATTTAATAGTCTTCTTTCTCTCAAAGTCCTTGGAAAAGAATAAGAGCAAAGAAGTTTCACAAAGGCTTTGCTCATCCTCCTTCCTTTTTAGTTTGGGTGAACAAAAAAGCTCAGCCCATTACTCATCACTGTAAAAATAAAAGAATGAACAAAGCCAGCTCAGTGGGAGCCATCACCACAAACTCCAGGGGTACTTTGACCAAAAGACTATGGAAGGAGCAACTTCCTCTCTCCCCCCACCCATTACGGGAGAAGCAAAGGGAACATCCATTTGGTAAAACCAAACCAGCAGTTTGGTTAGCATACAGTGCAAAAAACAACATTCATCAATCCAAAATGTATCAATCATTTATTACTAGTCTAATGGAAAACTACAGAAAGAAAACATTACTAAATTCTGAGCGTTTTGATGGTCCTAATGTAAGGCAAGGTATTATAAATTTTATGCTTAAGATAAACATTAGGCTAGCTGAATAAATGTAAATATAAAGATAGAAATAACCCATATTAGGTTTTAGAGACAACTCAGAAGCCACGAGAAAGGAATTAAGGGGAAAGGGCAAAAATCCAGAACACTATAAAACAAATATAGCCATGTAAGCAGTTTAAGCTTCAAAATTCCTCCTGATCTGACTTAGGCTTCCCAAGATCATGAAGCAGACTCCCTGCCCTGATAAAACCTCTTTTATGTAAGTAAAAGGGAATTCCTCTCCAGCAAAGCCACTGCAAACAATCTTTCATGAGAGTTCACAACTACAGATCTTTATCAGGCTTTAGCAGCAATTACTTAGCAAGAAGTCAAGAACAGATCTTCACCCTAATGAATTGAACTAATTGTCTCTAACCCTAACCTATTCCCCTTTCGCTCCTCTTTATTCCTTATTATTTATAGGAGGGGTCATTCACTGTCCACCTGTGCCTTTAGTCCTGAGTCAGCCCTTGTTCCTTAGCTGTTCCCTTCTCCTGGCAGCTCTGTGCATGCGCATACAGGAACAGGCTCCAGCTTTTTTTCGGCCCTACTGATATCCGACTCTGAAGGCAGCTGATAACTGTTGGACTGTAATGGCCCCATCTCTGCCTCTGCAGAGCACTCATCAGAACCTGAAGCAGGCCCCCGGAGGAGAGCCTTCTCTGTGGATGTTCCGACTCTTCGGAATCAGCTACCCCCAGAGATCCGGACCATACCCACTCTCATGGCCTTCAGG